GAGAGAGAGAGAGAGAGAGAGAGAGAGAGAATCCAGAAGCGGGATGGTCATTTTTATGCGGAGTCTACTGGTCGGATGCAAGCGTCTCCAATCAGATTATTGTTGTTTTTTCAAGAAAGGGAATGGCCACAATGCACTTTCAGAAAAGTTTTCATAAACCATTTGCCATTGCAGGTCCATCAGTTCCCTCAAAGTGCAGGGTAGTCTATGTTGGCACAATGACTAGAACTTCGAAGCGAAAATAATTTCTGGTGTATGCGCAGCCATTACCATGTGTGTCGATACTGTCAACCTGATACAATGATTTTTATGTAGCGTCATGTCACAGGATATAAGAGTGTGATCAAGACTGTCATGGCAGGTTTTTTTGCAGCGTATGACATCGCAAACCAGGTCAGTTGCATCTTAAGATTTGTGGATGTTTTCATGGTTTTGACATTTGGGCATTATGTTATCTTACGCGTATTATTGGGAAGATGCGGTATCAGACTGTCACAGAGACTTGGGGTGCAGCGTCACAAGAAGGCGTGAGAGGGGTCTAGGCCACGCTGGTTGTCTAGTTAGGATAAGAGGATGGGGGGAACTGGGGCCAAGTGATCAGAATACTTGTGGATCCTGTGTTCTGGGGTCAGCATCGACCGTCAGGCTTCTTTGGTGTATGTCATGTATGCACAAGGAACTGCTTCTTTGGTGTATGTCATGTATGCACAAGGAACTGCTTCTAGATGTATGTCATGCATGCACCACCGCGGCTTGTAGTGTTTGAAAGGCGGCCTATTGCTGGGGCGGTAGCATCCTGGTGTTGGCTGCTGATGGCCATGAAAATGAAAACTCCGGTGGCAGTCCCTGACCGTTGAGATGTCAAAGCAACGGTCAGAGGATGGTGCTGCCATTTCCCACCTCAGGCTTGGCATGTGCTGCCTCAGGCAGAAGAACGGGTTGGTGAAATAGGTTTGGGCACAGCGGTGAAGTAATGTCAACTCAGTTAATGATTGAGCAGTTGTGTGGAACTCAAACCCAAAGTCAATTGTGAGTAGAGAGAATTAGCAGAAGGTGAATGAAAAGCAAAGGTAAACAACAGAACCTCTCAGGCCTTGGAGGCCCTTAAGAACTAGGTGCTTCCTTACTAATATCGACGTGAGCTCAGAACATGCCCACGACCGCTTCATGGTGTCTGGCAAGGATCAAGTGCAGTCCAATTGGAACTATCAAAAGTAGGAATCCTTGGTCTCAAGTCCCACTCTAAGGAGCACACCTGTTTTGACTGGTGCTGTTGAAACAACCATTCCCTTTGATTACTTACTCAGATTCTTCCTGGTTTACAAGGGAGACAAGGGGGTCATTTTTCGCCAACTCTTCAATATACTTCATGCTTTGGTATCTGGGCTGAGAATGAAAGAAATGGAATGTGTCCGAAATATCTGGGGGACGAGAGACCTGGAGAAAAAAATGCATTCCAAAAGTCTCATGGGATGATATTAAGGAAAACCCGATTGAAGGGGTTCTGAGCACAGTCACCCCAAAATGGGAGGTTATATTACACCAAATACGAAATGGATGATAAAATTTCTTACCAAACTGTACCTACCACGGGCGTCCAGGAATAAGAGATGGCTGTGTGAGGTAACCCAAAATTGATGCCAGATGCCTTGCACCCCAACATTGATGCCCGAAGCCTACAAGGGATGCATTTTTTTTAGGGTAATGAAAGCTAGTGAAAGGATTCATGCTGCAGACACCCCAGTCCCGGTCCTAGAGTCCCGAAGTGTCCCAGTCCCAGAGTGTCCCAGTAGGGTAGGCCGTAGGGTCTGTAGTCTGAAACATCGTAAGGTCGATAGGTGTCGGTACCGAAGCGTCATAGGTCGGTAGGAGTCGTCTGGTACCCGACAAGAAAAGTGCGGAAGTGTCCAGTCCAGTCCGACAGTCCCAAGTCCACTTTTGCAGCATGTCCTAGGAAAGTCCGGAAGCTACGGGACCGACAAAATGTTTGCAGCAGATGGGCCGCGGCCGACCGGTACCAGTGTGAACCAGGCCAAGCCAAGCGAAGCCAAATCCTATATTTAGCTGCTACAGTGCAGCGGCCAATTCAGTTGCGAGATGCAGAAGCGCTGCTGCTGCTTGTGCGTGAAGGTAACTCGGGCACTGTGCAGCCGAAGAAGAAGAGGACGCTTGAGAAATACTCCATAGCTAGGGTAGAGATAGAGCAGGAGGATGGCGGCCATAGCTGCCAAGGTGTAAAGCTTACCTGAGTGGGTGTATCCAGGTGACGACCTAGGCCAGAGAGAGAGAGAGAGAGAGAGGGAGTGAGGCAGAGCGAGCCAAGTCAGAGAGAGAGAGAGAGAGAGAGAGAGAGAGAGAGAGAGAGAGAGAGAGAGAGAGAGAG